AGAGCATGGGGCACGTGCTGGGCCTGGTGCTTGGTGAGGCCTGAAAGAGGCGTAGCCTGGGGGCTGTTGTGATACTGACCCACCCCCGGGTTGGGCCTGCCAGGGGGCGTTCCTGAGCTTGGGACAGTCGGAGAAGCAGATCGACTCTTCTGGGCACGTTCCCTTCCTAGTTCATGGACCCCTTGGATATAGTCTGTGGAGCGCTGCTAGAAAACCGCTGCTCTGGGGCCCTGGGCAAGGGACACGCAGACTCTGCCCCATCCCAGCCTTGCCCCAGTTGGCCTTATGCCCTGCCCGAGGCCTCAGATGCTGCTGCTGAGCCTGATCCCCGTGGGTCCCAACCAGTCCCCACCTGCCTGCAGCCCCCACACCTCAGCGCTCAGACACCCGGCCAATGAGACCCCCCACGTGGCCCCTGCTCCTGGGGACATTGGGGATGTAAAAGTGTAACTGTGTAAACGGGGAACCAAGGAGCCTGGGCCCATTAACGTTTACGGTCACACGGGGGTCCCCACGCTCACTGGCTCCTGGGGAGCCTCCCGCTGAAACTGTAGTTACTTAATTACACACTGTAGCATCCCCACTAGAGACCTTGCCCCTGAGTCCCCAGCCCCCCCGCTCCCCAGACACCCTGCTCCAGGCCCCCCGGTGTCACTGACCCCAACTGTCCCCCTGCGGCGTAGAACGGACTTGTCAGCACAGTAACCGGGAACATGCAGTAAATGCCTTCTTGGGAAAGGGGAGCCCAGAACCTGGCCCTCCCCTGGGTGCCCCGACGGCTGGATCCGGCTCCAGGGGAAATTCTACTATTTTTCTAATTCTCAAGGGAACTGGAGCTACAGCCAGAGCTTTTGCTCCTCACATGCTGCCTCCCTGGCCGGGATTGAGAGTCCAGAAATGCTGGTGAGCAGCTCAGGTGCTTTGTGCCCAGCCCAGCGATCGCCGGCACCACAGGCCAGGCTGGGCCCAGCCCATGCAGGGCAGAGGGAGCCGGGTGCCTCCCTGGCTGGGTGGCTGGAGTCAGTGTGAATCTGGCAGCTGAGCCCTGGCTGGGCTTTGGGCTCCAACCTCCCCGACCCTGCACCTGCTCAGAGCCCTGGTGGGAGACTCCTCGTGAGCAGAGCTAGTCTGGCTCAGTTGGCTCCGGGCCCATGGGCTGCAAGTGGTGAGACCCTGTCCAAGCCCCAGGATTCCCTCATGAGCAGCATGGAGAAAATCCAGCTCAAGTTGAGGCCTGCTCTATGCCCCCTGCCTTCAACCACCTTGCCCTGGAGGCAGGGTCTTTTTGCCCTCCGCCCACAGCTCCCTCTCTCCCTGGCCCTGCTGTGCCCCAAAAAGGGGCTGCTGGGCAGACAGTGATTGTGCAGCTCAATTCCTGCCACAGTCCTCCCAAAAAACAGGTCCAGGGAGGGGGGAGGGTTAATACCTCTCGCCAGGCCAGTAAAGGGGGGCTGGTTCCCCTGGACCTGACTCCCCTCCCCCGTGCTCCTTGACCAGGACGTGACATGTTCCTGCCCGCCCCCCCGCCTCTCTCTCTGTGCTGGGGGGTCACCCTGCCACCCAAACCCCCACCCACCCCAGCAAGGGACCCTCTCCCACTTCCCCTTTCTCTTCCCTCTGCTGCTCAGATACACCGACGGGAAGCCCGTGCTGGGGAGGGTCCAGGCCACCCTGTGTCGGCTCAGAGAGCAGAAGCTCCGGGGCGTGTGTGTACATCTCACGGGCCAGGTGAGTGCAACTGGGAAAGGCAGAATGTGCAGGGCTGCTGACTGCGGGGGGGAGGGGGGAAGGGGAAAGGGAGGAGGGGCGCTGTGACTTGTGAGAATCATGAACATTTCTCTGGGATCCTTCATCCTCCCTTTGCAGCCTGGGGCCTGATCCTGCTCTCATCTGCCCCGGGGGTAAAATGGGAGGGGCCCAGGGTTGACAATAGGGAGACCCTGGTGTAAGTGCAGGTGAATCAGGCCCCGGATCCCTTGGGGCTCCCCACTTTGGGTAGGGGGATGTCATAGAATCATGGAGCTGGAAGAGACCTCAGGAGGGCATCAAGCCCAGCTCCCCTGCCCAAGGCAGGATCAGTCCCAGCTATGTGGCCAGTGACCCTGTCTATTTTCCCTTCCTGGGTGGAATCACTGTTGCTTGCGCAGCACCATGTAGAGATGTGCCCCACCAGCAGAGACACAAAGCCTCGAGTTCTTCTTCGGGCGATGTCCCCATGGATGCTCCACTGTGGGTGTTGGGTCTCAGACAATGGTCTCAGAAGAAGCGCCCACCCCAATTCCACTCTTCCGGCTCCCAGGCTGCGAAACAACAGATTTGAACCTTTGGTACCATCTTTTTGCCTACAGACCATGTCCCTTTCACTTCACTTCCCTGTAACATCCTCCCCAGCCCATCCCTCTTCAGGGACTAGGGATGTTAAATATCGGTTAATTGAATAGTTGAATAACCTCATGAATTTATAGAATCATAGAGCTGGAAGAGACCTCACGAGGTCATTCAGTCCAGCCCCCTGCCCAAGGTAGAACCAATCCCAACTGAATTAACCCAGCCAGGGGTTTGTCAAGCCGAGACTTAAACACCTGTAGGGATGGATATTCTACCACCCTCCCTTGGTAACCCATCCCAGGGCTTCTCCACCCTCCTAGGGAAATAGTTTTTCCTAATATCCAACTTAGATCTCCCCCAGGGTAACTTGAGACCATTGCTCCTTGTTTTGCCATCTGTTACCACTGAGAACAGCCTCTCTCCCTCCTCTTTGGAACCTCCCTTCAGGAAGTTGAAGGCTGCTCTCAAATCCCCCCTCACTCTTCTCTTCTGCAGACTAAACAAACCCAAATGCCTCAGTGTCTCTTCGTAGGTCATGTGTTCCATCTCCCTAATTATTTTGGTCACCGTCCACTGTACCCTCTCCAACGCGTCCATATCTTTTCTATAGTGGGGGTCCCAGAACTGGACACAGTACTCCAGATGTGGCCTCCCCAGAGCAGGGTTGATACTTGGGCCTTTAACTTTCTCTTCCAATATGGAGACCAGGTTGCACTTCGTACAGATGAAATCATTTCTGTCTTCTGGGAGGAAGACAAACATGGCACATGCTGTGCAGGTCTCACCAGCTGATCTTTCACTCTGAATCCTGTCTTCTTCTGAGAGACTCCTCAGATGTTGTTTTTATTGCCCCTGAAGGGGAGACATGAAAGAGAAAAGAAGAGGCAAAAAGAAAGAAAAACACCAACCACTGTGGGGCTCCCCCCATGGTGAACTCCCAGGCAAACTCCCCTGTTCGCTGCTCACTACATTCACTCTTATCCAGAAATATAATTTATGCTATCATGTGCCGAAAGTGTCTGTCTGCTATGTACGCTGTACAAACGTCTCAGACACTTCGCCAAAGGATCAATGCCCACAAAACAGATATTAGACAGGATCACAAAGAAAAAACAGTTTCTTTCCATTTCAACCAGAAAGGACACTGCCTCAACAACTTGATTACCTGCATCCTGCTTCAAAGACCTTTTAACACCACACTTGAAAGAGAATCCTCTGAACTGTCATTCATGCTTAAATTCACACTTTACCCCTAAGTTTAAACAAAGACATTAATTATCTTACCCATTAGAAAGATAGCTTCCCCAATTATCACCTCTAATATCATTAGCTCACAGACATTTACCTTCCCCCTCCCCCCATCCCCCTTCTGTTCTGAAATTTGATTTATCCTTCTCATATGTGTTCATTTTTTTAATTGTATCCATTGGTATATATGGTTGTACCAATTTTCTTCCACTGTTTGATCTGAGGAAGTAGGTCTGGCCCACGAAAGCTCATCACCCAATAAACCATCTTGTTAGTCTTTGAAGTGCCACATAGTCCTGTTTTTTGTTTAAGTTCACTCTGGCTGCCTTTTTTATAAGACTACTGGCTCCAACCAGATGCTCCTGCCTGGAGCCCTACCTCTGAGCCAGTCTTTCAAGGGCTTCCTGAAACAAACCACTCCCAATTTACACTTTTTCAAGCAGAGAAGCACACAGTCAAGCAGTGCCCACAATTGATAATTAGATTCTTGATTGGGTTTTATTTCAATCGGGGAGTTTTGGTTTTAGTTTAGTTAAAAAGAGATTTTAAAGAATGCTAAATGTACCCAGCCCCTTTGAAACGCCCACACATAGCTCCCTGGTCGATTACTAGCAGGCTTTATATAATCCTTCTTGATAGCCCCGCTTCCTGGTTAAGGCTTGATGAATGAACAAAGGGCTGGGTTTATGAGCAGCAATCCCATTCCAGGCACAACCCATTAACCAGGCACAACCAAACCCTTCACTGCTTTAAGAGAAGCTGCGTTCCAATCTGGTGGTTCTACCTCTTCCTGTTTAGAAGGAGTTCTTCCTCAAATAGACAAGCCAACAAACTCTAAAATGCAGAGTAGATTAGATACAAGGCTGCTGTCAGCTAATTGCTAAATTATCTGCCACCTGGCAGAGGAGTTCGGGTGTTCCCAGCGGGTTAATGCCGGCAGCGTCCCCAGCACTCAAGGGAGGCTCGACACCAGCACCTGCCGAGGGCCCTGTGACTTGTTGGCCCAGCATTGAGGCCCCGGGAGTCTCCGAGGGCCCCGGGAGTCAGGCTCCTGCCAGGGAGTATTTCCAGGTTCAGCTGAGACCCCCTGGGCATGAGCCAGCACCTCCCAGTGCTCCCCCGGCCCAGCCCGATTAGAGACCTGGGGCCGGGCTGCTGCTAACGGGCTGTGCTTCTCTCCCTGCAGACTGAGAGCGACGGCTGCCTTTCCTGGGAGGTGGGGACGCCTCCCTTCCACCTGACCCGCTCTGGCTACCAGATGAACCTGGAGGCCATGGCCTCTCTCGAGGAGAAGGGGACAGGTGGGCCTGAACCCAAGCAGACCTGTGCACAGGCACCCGGAGCAGGGAGCCTAGAGGCAGAGGGGTCTCCCTGCCAAGGCCCAGCAGGGCACAGCCCCTTCCCCGGACGTGTCCAGCCCCAGCTATTGCCAGCGACGGGCCCCTGAGGTGGGCCCGTGCTTGGGTCTGGCAGCACAGGAGGTGGGATGCAGGGCTCCTGTGCCCTGTGACCAGACACACACAGGGAGGGGACTCTCTCCGGGGGGGGAGGGAGCATCTCCTGGGTCAACGCTCTCTGGCCTCTGGATGGACCAGTTGCTCCAGCTGCTCAGGGGCAGACATGGGCCTGGCTTCCTGGAAAATCCATCCCTGCCTCATTTAACCCCCCTCCCCCCCCAATTCTCCCCCAATGGCCCCTGCAGCCCTCGGCTAGCGGGGTAGAAATGGCTGCACAGATCGGTATGGAGAGAAATCCGGGATTCAGCCTGAATTGGGGCCGTCTCCCATCGGCCTCCCTCTCCTGCTAGGGGTGGTGATCAATGCGACCAGGAGCTGCCTCATCAACATCGTGTCTGAAATCGCCACGGTGACCTTTGAGGAAGCTGACGCTGCCTACAGGGCTGGGATCCCCTACACTGGCAAGGTAATGGGATCCCTGGCAACCCACGTGCTCACCCCAGCGCCCTGCTGTTCCAGTCCTGCCCCACCCACCCCAGCTCCCCCCAATCCCGACCTCCAGCGGCCCCGGCTGTACTGTTCCTGCCACACACCCGCCCTAGCTCCCCACAGCCCCATCTCCATTCCTCCCCGCTGTTCCAGTCCTGCCCCACCCCAGCTCTCCCTGGTCCTGACCCCACTGCCTGGTACTGTCCCCAGAGTTTCGTGTCTCTCCCTTTATCTCCTGGCTCAGATGCTCCTGAAGGCAGCAGACGGCTCCGCACTGAAGAATGAGACTCTGCGGCTGTTTGTTAGCTCTGGAGACATTAGTGAGAACCAGACCTTCCTGACGGATGAGTCTGGCAGAGCCTCCTTCGCGCTGGACACCTCCAGCTGGACCGAGACAGTCGCCCTGCGGGTAAACCTGGGACAGTCGATCTGCGGGTAAACAATGGGCCTCTGAGCCCAGTGGGGATCCTGCCCTGCAGCATCTGTTATTGCTTCTGTGGTGCATGGCATTTATTATGGGAGTGCCTAAGGAGAGCCAGGATTGGGCCCTGAGGTGCTAGGTGCTGCACACATCCAGAGTATAAGCCACCCCGCCCAGAGAGCCTGCAGGCTGAAGGGCCAAGACAGAGGTGTGTGGGGAAGGGGCAGGACCCAGCAGCAAAGCCATCAGAGGGGTGGTGCAAAAGGCATCCTAGTGCTGCCACTTCTCTTCTCAGGACCATGTGGGGTGCGGTTTAGTTAGGAAGGTCGCCCCCTTCCAGCTGCTCTGGGCACCCGCACCCACCAAAGACCCCCAGCCTGGGGTACCGCAGGTCAGGGCTGCCCCATTCAAATCACTGGGGTTCTCTAAGCCCCTGTTATAGAGGCAGGGTGAGAGGCCATGGGGCTGAGCTCAACCAGCAAAATCAGAGCCAGCCCTGCCCGGCACCCTTAGCACCCAGCATGCCCCTTTGTTCTTCTTTGTGTGCTTGCTCATGTCCATTCCAATCAGGTGTGCGCTGCATGCTCGGATCTCGGAGCTTTTTTCCCCTCACTAGTATCCATAGGGCCAGGCAGGGAGATCCCTGGAGTGGTGCATATATACCCCTACTGGCCCCTCCACCCCCTCAGTTCCTTCTTACCATCCCTGCAGCAGCTGGAGCAGTTAGCCCTTTAGTCTCCCCTTAGCTTTCATTGTTCCTTTGTAGGATAGTTAGCACCTGTAACCAGCATAGTGTTTAGAGCGCAAATACTTAGTGATTAGAGGGCCTTGTTCCTCTTCCTCTCCCCAGCTGGGGGGGCGGGGGGATGCCAGGCCTACTGGGATTCAGGCCTTGTGTGTTCTGCTTGAAACCCAGGCCCTGCGGGGATCCGCATGACTCCTGCCTCAAGTGCTTGGGTGAGGCTCATTGCCAGCAAACCTGCAAGATCTGCAGGAGTTTTAAGCCGCAGACAAAGAGAGAGAGGGACTCTAGGCTGAAGAGATTTCTCATAGAGCCCTCTCTCCCACCGCTTGTACCGGAAGAGGCCCAGTCAGTGTGCAGTGCGCTTGGTGGCACCACTTAAGGCGAAGCCTAAGCCTTCCCGGCACCGTTCACAGTCTCCTTCCCAGAGGAGATCCAAGGAGGGGAGGGTTGATCCCCACACAAAACAAGCCTCAAAGTGCGTCGGAAGGAGGGACACTCGGCCGCGAAGGTCCAGACCCAGACTCATGCTGACCCTGGGCAGGAACATGCTCCCGTAATGACTGAGGCCGAGGGTGCCTTGTGGGAGCTAAGACCATCGATGCCAGAGACATATGACGCGGCGTGTGACCTGATAGCGCTAACCGCTCTGGAGACACCAGCCTTCTCCATACCAGCGCCGAGTAGGTCGACGGTGCATACTGGCACCGAGTTCAGCACCAATGTTTGCGGCACCGGTGCCGTTCCCAGTCCGGCCAATGCCTATGCCATCCCTGGCATCGGTCCCTCCACTGTGGGCTGCAGTGGGGACGCAGAGTGTTCCACCCTCGACGGCCCCGCAAGGCCTGCCCATGCAGGCAGCACCACAAGTGCATGCGGCACCAACACAGCCATTTTTACCCCCGGCACTGGTCTCGCCGCTCAGGGGGAAGCCGTGGGCTATGGCCTAGCAGCAGAGGGAGCAGGAGTCAAGTGCCTCCCTCGTGGTTGACCTCAGAGCCTTTTTGAGGTATCAGGGAGTACACATTTTCCCTTATCTGGACAACTGGCTAATTCGGGGGTTGTCTTGGGAACAGGAGGTGGCACACGTCTCAAGTACCAAGCAACTGTACAACTCAGCCTCATACTAAATGAGAAGTCTGTGGTTCCGTCCCAGCCAATAGAATTTGGGGAGTGTTCCTGAATTCCATGGCAGAGACGGCATCTCTACCCGCTCACAGGTTTCAGACTATGTGTACAATGATTATGGACCTCCAGAGGTGCCCCATGACTACTGCCTGCCATTGAATGCATCTGCTGGGTCACATGGCGGCTTGTACATACGTCGTGACACACGCCAGGCTGAGACTGCCTATACTCCAACGCTGGCTGAGAACTGCGCACAATCCAGTGCACCAGACCCTGGTTATCCTCTCAGGTTCAGTACTTCATTTACTGGACTGGTGGACTCAGGAGGATGTAGTGTGTGCAGAAGTCCCCTTCAACGCACAGGCTCCTTCTGTACAATTAGTGATGGATGCATCTGATGGGTGGGGGGCCCATTTGGGGACCCTAAGGACTCAGGGTCTATGGTCAAGGAGGGAGAGTTCCTTGCACATCAACGTCAAGGAGCTCATGGCAATCAGGGATATTCTAGAGGGGATTTTCTGAAGGTGGGGTTATCCCCTTGTGGATCTGTTTGCCTCCAGAGACAATCCCAGTGCGGGAGATACTGCTCCTTCAGGGGGCAGGGACCTGGCTCCCTAGGGGACGCTTTCCATATCCAATGGCCCAATCACCTAGTATATGTGTTCCCTCCCCTTCCACTGGTTCTGGTCAGAATGTGGCTTTTCAGGGCAACAGTGGTCACGAGGTGGCCTCAGCAACACTGGTTCTCCATCCTGAGGAAACTGTCAGTGGTGGAACCGGTGAGACTGCCTCTGGTCTCGGATCTGCTCATGCAAGATCTAGGGTAGGGGATACTATGTCACCCGAACCTGGGGGCTCTCCACTTTGCGGTGTGGAAACTGAGTGGCGCTCAGACGTAGAACGGGGCTGCTCTCAGGAAGTACAAAGGGTTTTACTGGACAGCAGAAAGCCATCTGCCAGGGCCCTTTATGAAGCCAAGTGGAAAAGGTTCACGCTGTGGACACAACAAAGGGGCATAGCCCTGGTTGCGGCCAGCGTTCCTCTGATATTAGATTATGTGCTACAGCTCAGGTACCAGGGCCTTGCCACATCCTCTCCTAGAGTCCATCTGGCAGCGATCTCAGCCTTCTGCCCGGGGGGGTGAAGGGGGGGGAAGGTCAGTCTTTGCTAATAAAATGACAAAGAGATTCCTGAAGGGGATCGACAGACTAATGCCGCAGCTGCATTCCCCCATCCCCCCAGGACCTTAACATGGTACTTACGGGACTTATGAGACCACCCTTTGAACCTCTAGCCACCTGCTTGTTGGAGCATTTGTCATGGAAGGTGGCATTTCTGGTCGTGATTACATCAGCCAGGAGGGTGTCAGTTACGGGCCCTGACCTCGGAGCCCCCGTCCATGGTCTTTAAGGACAAAGTTAGGCTCTGCCCTCACCCGGCCATCCTCCCTAAGGTAGTTTCCCATTTCTATATGTCCCAGAACATTTGTTTCAGTGTTTTTTCCTAAACCCCACAACACACCTGAAGAGCAGGCTTTGCATTGCCTGAGCTAAGGAGGGCCGCTGCCTTTTATATAGACGGGACAAAAGACTTCCGAAAGTCACCACAGCTTTTTATTTCCTTTGCGGAAGGAATGAAGGGAGCACCAGTGTGAGCTCAGTGTTTATCATGGTGGATGACCTCATGCATTAACGAATGTTACCACAAACTGGGGAAACTCCTCCCCGGCTGTGAGCGCTCTCCACATGGGCGCAGGCCAGGTCCGTCACATTCTTGGCTCAAGTGCCTATATTGGACATCAAGTATTAGAGGGGTAGCCGTGTTAGTCTGAATCTACACGAAAGCTTATGCTCCAACACTTCAGTTAGTCTATAAGGTGCCGCAGGACTCCTCGCCGCTTGGACATCTGTAGGGTGGCCACATGGTCCTCCTTTTCAGACCACTACGCCATCATGCAGCAGGCCAGGGCCGACACATCTGTGGGTAGAGCAGTGCTGCAATCTGTAGAGAGACAGCTGTCATTACTCTCCAACCCCACCGCCAGAGGAAGCGGCTTGGGAAGCACCGGATTGGAATGGACATGAGCAAGCACTCGAAGAAGAAGAGGTTACTTACCTCGTAACTGTAGTTCTTCGAGAGGTGTTGCTCATGTCCATTCAAAATCCCACCCGCCTCCCCTTCGTTGGAGAACTTTGGCAAGAAGGAACGAGGGGGTGGAGGGGCCAGCAGGGGTATATATGCGCCGTTATCCCGGTGCCACTCCAAGAGGCTCCCTGGCTGGCCCTATGGATACTGCTGAGGGAAAAAAGCTTCGAGATCCGTGCATGCAGCGCGGACAACTGATTGGAATGGACATGAGCAACACATCTTGAAGAGCTACAGTTATGAGTTAAGTAACCTTCTTCTCTGTCCCAGGGGCACTTCAAGCAGGCAGGTCCCAGAACAGAGAGTGACGGAGACTCTCCCCATTACCCGGATGCCCATCACAGTGTGGAGCCCTTCTACTCCCGGAACCGGAGTTTCCTGAAGATCGGCAGCCTGGGAGGGGAGCTGCCCTGTGACCAGGCCCAGCGGCTCCACGTGGACTATGTCCTGGCGAGGAAGAACCTGGGGAACGGGTCCAAGAGCCTGGATTTCATCTTCCTGGTGAGCCCCAACCTGAGAACTAAAGTGTGTGTGTGTGTGTGTGTGTGTGTGATGTTATTGGATTTTAACAGGAACATGCAGATCATTCTTGCACCCACTGGTGTGTGTTTGCCCCAAATGTAGTGCAAAGAGGGTCAGGTGAGGTGTCTAATGAAAGCCAATGCCATGCGGATTCTGTTTGTGCTGCTCATGTACATGTATGATTTTTGTATGTAAAGTTATGAATATGGGCTCTGTGCTTGCAGTTTAAATGTTTTCTGTCTGGGAGACAGCAGCAGGTGTTTAACGCCTATTGAGAGGGGTGGTTCCCCAGAGAATAGCTCTTCTGCATGGACATTGGCTCTCAAGTGTTACACCTGTGGAATTCAGTTGTGACCCTACAGACCTGCAGATTCCCCATGGCTGCTGGCGTAAAGGACATGGGCAGGTTAGTTGATCATGTGATCAGCTCCATTTTGGGAGGCACCATCACTCAGGAGAACGATGATTTCCCTCTGCAAGGGCAAGAGTATAAAAGGATCCTGGGGATTCCTCCATCTTGGTCTTCACTCCTGCCCTCCTCTCCACAAGCACCTTTGCTAAAGACAGAGCCCGGAAGGTTTCATTGACCCCTCCTGACATAGGATGTGCTCCAGGGATTTTAAAGCTGCAGTGTGTCTGAATAAGGTTTCTGATTGCCTGTCTGGTGTCTCAGAAGTGAGGCTGGAATTAGACGCAGGGCAGGGAGAACTCAAGGGTCATGAAAATGTTTCTCTAAAGCAGATTGCAGCTGATGGTCAGGTGAAGCCCTAACAAAGGAGAAGGATAAAGTTCTTCTTCGAGTGAATGTCCCCATGGGTTCACTTTGGGTGCTGGTGAATTCTCGCACCAGTGACTGGAGATTTTTCTAGCAGTGCCCTGCCACGCCGAGCATGTGCAGTAGCGTCTCCTCGTGTCAGTAGGGTCTGTTAGGTGCAGTGCCTCAGTTCCTTCTCTACCATCCAGGGTGAAAAGCCCGGCACCTTAGGTATGGCACTGCCAAAACAGTACGTGGTGCACAAAAGGGCCCACTTGGAGCCTAGACACAAGCCGTCAGCACCGTTGTCTTCATCGGCATCGCCATCTGCCACACCAACCAAACACTACAGATCAGCACTGAAGATGGTACCAGAGGCAGCACCAGATACAGCGCCGAATAGACTCTTTACTGAGATGCCTTCTCCCAGGTTGTGACGCTGGCCCCTCCTCCGCACCTTTGACACCGAGCCTGGCGCACCGCACAAAGACTGGCCTAGACATTCTATGGCACCGACAGACCGAGAGTCCTTGGCACTGTGCACTCAATTCACTGTGCCCTGAGTGCGCTCAATTCACCGCCTCACTCCCCAGCCACATCTGTCCCTCGGGAAGGCTGACACGGGACGACATGGCCGCTTTTCATCACAGCATTCTTCTACCCAAAGGCATCCTCCCTGGGAGCTTTACTCCGCAAGAACACCACATGGTCTGCCACCCCACCCTGACCAGGAGGCACGGTGTTCGCTGCCTCCTGATCGCCGTCTCGCCCCACGTCGAAACCTACGTGCGGGCTTTGGCCAGAGTGGTGGGGGCCTTGGCCGTGGTGGCGGCCTCCAAAATGTACGACAAGGTTGTGTTCTTCCTTGCCTCGGAGGCCACCGCCCAGGAGGCAGTGGAGTGGGTCCTGGCTGGGGGGGGCATGCAAGTGCCCCTCGAACTGCTGGAGGTCCTGGGCGTATGGGTGGTCCTCACCTCCGTTCCACCCTTCCTCCCCAGTGCTGCCCTACTGCCTTTCCTCTCCACCCTGGGGAGACCCATTTCCACCATCAGTCCTCTCCCGTTGGGCTGTAAGGACCCTGCCCTCCGCCACATCCTGTCCTTCCTCTGGCAGGTGCA